GTTTTGCTGGTGCAGGCTGCCACTGGCATGGAGAGTATCCACAGCCTCCACTGCCTCTCCCATTCTCCCTCACTTCCAGGGCCAATGTGGTCCCTATTTTCAAGAAGGGGAGGAAGGAGGATCCAAGTAATTATAGGCTAGTCAGTCTCACCTCCATCCTTGGAAAGGTCTTGAAAAGATTATGAAGGATCATATTTGTGGGAGTCCAGCAGGAAAAATAATGCAGCAGGGAAACCAGCATGGATTTGTTGCGGGTAGATCATGCCTGACCAATCTGGTTTTGTTTTATGACACAGTCACAAAATGCTTAGATGCAGGAGTAGAGGTGGATGTCATTTCCTTGGACTTTAGCAAGGCTTTCGATACGGTATCTCATCCTATTCTCATAAATAAATGAAGAGGCTGTGACATAGAAGTTTACACAGTCTGGTGGGTGGCAAACTGGCTTAGTGGTCACACCCAGATAGTGGTAGTAGATGGGTTGGTATCGACCTGTAAGGATGTGGCTAGTGGGGTCCTGCAGGATTCGGTCCTTGGACCTGTACTCTTCAATATCTTCATCAGTGACTTGGATGTGGGTGTGCAGTGTACTCTGTCCACGATTAAGGATAATATTAAATTGTGGCATGAAGTGCACACTCCGGAGGGGAGGGAACAATTGCAGGCACACCTGGACAGGTTAGAAAAGTGGGCAGTACACAATAGGATGCAGTTCAACAAGGACAGGTGCAGAGTGCTGCACCTAGGGCGCAAAAATATCCAGCACACTTACTGGCTGGGCAGTGACCCTCTCAACAGCACAGAAGTGGAAGGGATCTTGAAGTCATAGTGGACTCCAAGATGAACATGAGTCATCAGTGTGCCAAATCATCAGCAAAGCTAACTGCACTTTATAATGCATCAGCAGATGCATGACAAATAGAACCAAGGAGGTGATACTTCCTCCCTACATGGCATTGGTCAGACCGCAGTTGGAGTACTGCATCCAGTTTTGGGCGCCGTACTTCAAGAAGGATGTTGATAGACTCGAGATGGTCCAGAGGAGGGCCACTTGTATGGTTAGGGGCTTACAGGACAAGCCCTATGAGGAGAGACTGAAGGACCTGAACCTCTTCAGCCTCCGCAAGAGAAGGCTGAGAGGTGATCTTGTGGCCACCTACAAATTCATTAGGGGGACAGAGCAAGGGATCAGAGATGCTCTGTTCACCAGGGCACCACTTGGGTAACAAGGAACAATCGTTACAAACTGACAGGGCGCAGATTTAGGATAGATATCAGGAAAAACTTCTTCATGGTAAGGGTGGCCAAAATTTGGAATGGGCTTCCAAAGGAGGTGGGGTTGCCTCCTACCTTGCAGATCTTTAAGAGAAGGCTGGATAGGCATCTGGCTGGGGCCATCTGAACCCAGCACCCTTTTAAGCCTAGGCAGGGGGTGAGACTTGATGATCTGTTGAGGTCCCTTCCGACCCCAGCATCTATGAATCTATGAACATTCTCACAGACAAACTAAGGAAGTATGGGCTGGATGAATGGACTGTAAGGTGGATAGGAAATTGGCTGGAGCACTGGGCTTGGAGAGTAGTAATCAATGGCTCAATGTCTAGTTGGTAGCTGGTATCAAGTGGAGTGCCCCAGGGTTGGCTCTGGGGCCAGTTTTGTTCAATGTCTTCATCAATGACCTGAAAGATGGTATAGAGTGTAACCTCAGCAAGTTTGCAGATGACACCAAGCTGGGGGGAGTTCTAGATAAAGAAAGTCCTATAAAATTATGATGCTTTACTGCAGAGCTAATCTGTCAATTCTGCAGTAAAGTGTACATGTAGATGCACCCAGTTTGTAGTATGATGCGGGCCCTAATCCCTGATGCATTAGTCCAATACCCATAATAAATCATTGTCCCACACACACGCATTTCCCTTTAAAGATATGTGAACATCCTAAACCTTTTTTCTATTTGAGTAAGAAAGAATATTATCTCACTCCATTTGCTAATTACATTGTTCATTCTTTCGTTGATTTCTCTCTCTCTCTCTCTCTTTTTTAGCAGATCATGAAACTAAGAGGGGCAATTATAATTTCCCAGTGGGAACCAGATACCACAGTTGTAGCAGCCAGATCACAGTAGGTGAGAGATACGTGAAAGTGCTTTTCATTTTGCTTAAAATAAATGTTCCATATATAAATGAAATATATGATTAATGAGTCATATTCCTCTATGTGCCAGTTCAACCTGAAGTGTGTGACTTTATGACAAATTTTCAGTGATTTGTGATGTTTTAATTATATTTTCCAATGGACAGGAACCAGCATAACTTGAACGTTTGTCGTCAGTAGCCTTAATGGTTCTTAAAATGGAATAGAATGGTGCATGGGGATGGGCAGAAGAATGTGTCGCTGTACCTTGTTTAAACATCTGATCCACAGTGAACTATCAAGGTCTTATTTTAGTCTTCAGGGTCATTAGATTGGCACCTTTCACAATGGAGGGATAGAAGAAGTAATCATTAACCTCAAAATTTACAGCATTACTATTTAGTTCAGTGTTTTTCAACCTTTTTAAACTCAGGGCACCCTTCAATAGACCCAAGACATACCTTGGAAGATGCTGGCTCTTCATTTTCACTCAATTTCTGACTACAGAAAAATACAAGAGCAATTCTACTAATATTGTGTAGCACCCTTCAACACCCTTGATAGAATCTCAGGGCACCTGAGGGTGCCATAGCATCCTGATTGAGAACCACTGATTTAGTTTGTAGCAATAATATGTTTTAATTCATTGAACTGTTCCAAGAGACACCTGCTTCTATCTCCTTGATGGCTATGTATTAGAAGCCAGCAATATGTGGAAATAGTTCAGCTCATTCTTTTCAATTGCTTTTATTCTGTATTTGTGAATGCTGAATTTAATCTCTTGCTGTGCTCCTCATATACATAAGTTTCTCTCTTAAAAGCCTCCTCCTTCAGTTGCCTTTAATAAATCCTAAGGATGTGAACTTACAAGTATATTTTGAAGAAATTAACCTTAGGTTTTACCCCAGAGTAAATTACTTGTTAGTGAAGGAGCTACTAATAGGCTCCTTGCATTGAGCCAAAAGGTTTTCCCATGATGAAATAAATTAGAATTGTGAATACACAATTGTAGCACATAAGGGTTCCAGGGGTGGCCATGACATCCCTTACAGGCTCCACAACCATGCCCCACTCCACCCCTAGGGCACCTTCCTGTTTCACCTGCTACGCCTTGATGGAATAATGATAAATAGGGAGGTTGCCCACAGACCTTTGTGTAGCCCTGGTTCCACTGAACCCTCACTAGGGTCCCCGGCACCCTATTAGTCCTCACTGATCCTTGGCCCCTTGCCGGGTCTCTATAGCCTCAGGCCCCTTGCTGGGCCTCTATTGTCAACTCTGCCTGGCAGGGCACCCAAAGTCTTAAGTGCTAATTGCGTGACTCTAAATCCTCTCCTACACCATGCCCCATGCCTCACAGGTGGTACTGTAATGTTGTTCCCTTTAGTGGGGCTTTGTCCTCCTTGGCCTCTGCCCCCTTACTTTACCTAGGCCTTCTAGCCTGGGCCCACTATATCAGACCTGGCTTTGAGGCACTAGTTCTTTCTTGTCCTTTGTGGTCACTGGGCCCATGGCCTCTGTCTGCTGGGTCCCAGGCCCCTGTGCATCTGTGCCCCAATGGCACCAGGACCCTAGCACCTGTCTTACTGCTGCCTTGCACTCTCTACCCACTCTGGACTCAATAACTACTTAAGCCTTGATCCTGCCCCTGGCAAGGCTCCAAGCTATCATGTGCCCCTCAGGTACTAATGGGACTTCCTTAACCACCCCTTACAGCCCCATACCCAAACTCTGGTATAAACACAACATAAACACAAGCCCCCAGGCTACAACATAAATCACAACAGTGAAGGTAGTCCTTTGCCCCTTTAAAAGGGCAAACCTTCCTTCACCCTTGGGCCAACATACTTCCTAGCCTGGCTCCTTGTGAGGTCCCCAAGTCTGAGTATTCTTCCAGACAGCAGAGCAATTCAACATCATCGGGAAAGAACCTCCTTCCCCTTCAGCTGCCAGGGAGAGCCCTGACCCCACCTACCCCACCCCAGCCAGTCTGAACCTTGGGTTATAAACTCCAAGTGCCCTGCCTACCTCTGGTCAGCTGACTGCCCACAGGTGCCTGCTAATTGCTGCATTAGCCTATTGCCCTGGTGCCCTACAGCTGCTACATCCTGCCTAGCCTGCAGGGCTCCCTGGCTAGACTTTTACTCATAAAGAAACAGATCCCCCAGGCTCACTGTTACACCAATGTTACTTTCCAAGGGTACCTTTCCAAGGGTAACAACCAACAGCATTGGTTTAATGCTATTTCATGTGTCTGCTTCACTTTTACTCCAGAATGAATTCCTTTGAAGTAAGGAAGTTGTGTGTCTGCATCCGTAGTATTTTTTCTTCATCTGCAATGGTGGTCATGTCACTGTTCATCTTTTTCTCCAGCTTATTAATATATATTAGTGATGGGCCCCATAGGCAGAGGGAGAAAAAATTATTTGGGGAGGGGGGCTGAGTGTCTGCATGCATGTGTACAAGCCCTCCCCCCCCCAGCACATAAGTCTGTGGGGGAAGGGGCAGGGGAGGGGGAAGGACTTTGGGGGGGGCAGATGAAGGCCCCAGTGGCAAAGTAGGGAGTAGGGCACAGGCTCAGCCACTCACCCTAGCCCCTGCTCCTGCCTGTGCCTCACTCCCTCCTTCACTGCTGGGGCCTCGATCTGCACCACCCCCCCATGGTGGTGAGGGAGAAAGTGGGGCTGGGGCAGGAGCAGGTCCTGCACAGCTGGGACAGGGTGCAGGACAGGGCCATGAGTGGCTCATTTGGGGGGCACCCAGTGCAGGGAGGCAGTGGCAGCTGTCACCACTGCAAGCACCCCAGGAGGGCATGGGGGCCATTTGTCCAGGATCTACACATGGGGTAAGGTTGGGCTGTGGGCTGGAACTGATCTCTTCCCAGCAGGGCGGTTGGGCCACATTGTTCTTGGAGCAGGTGGTGGTGGTTCTGGAAGTGGGGGCTACAGCAAATTTTGGGGTGGCTGCAGCCTCACAATAACCCTCCCACCCAGCATCGCCACCACCTGCCCTGAACACAGCCCAGCCCAACCCCCCACACCGAGAAGAGCCCAGTGCAGCCTCAACCCCAGCCTTCAGTGGCAGCCTGTCATGCCCTGCACAGATCCTGGGGACCCCACCCCCGCCGTGCCTCCCAGGGTATGTGTAGCAGCAGGAGCTGCGCCTGCTGGACCAGCCACTCACAGCTCAGTCCTGCACCCTGCCCTGGCTGTGCAGCACCTGCCCAGCCCCACTTCCTCCTTCACCGCTGCATGTGCACCCCTCCCAAGCCCTGCTGTAACCACTGGAAGCCCTTTGGATGGGCTGTCTTGTGGTCCTATCGCTGCCCTGTGTTTGGGAGGGCTAAGCCCCATTAGCGTCCCCTCCCCGCACTGCCTGTGGTGATGGCCAACCTTTTTGACAGATGTGCCACAAATTAACCCTGCCCTCTCCTCAGGTGTTGCTCTGATCACCTTTCCCTGCTTAATTTGCTGCTCTGCTTTTTGCTGCTTCTTCTCTCTGCCACTGTGCTGCTTATCCCCTCTCTATTCTGCCTCCCCTCCCATATAGGCTGTCCATGTCTTTTGTGGCAGCTTGGCTACTCTTGACATATTAAACAACATTGGCATTAGATTAGGTACTCCTCTCTGAAATATCAGCTATGTTGAAAAAATGGTTTTAACATCCAAGATAATGTTACAAAAACTAAAATGAATAAGTTTGAGAGCAATTCATATGTTTTGGACTGAGGAATTCTTTGTAAAGCCATCCTTTATAAATGTCTTTTTGGCAGGCTATTGTGAACTGTTTTTTGTTACCCTTCAGGATACTGTAGGAATTAGCCCAATGTAATTTCTCAAACATTAAAAATTACCCATTGGTGACTGGGAGGGATTGGATATGGAGTAGAACCAGAAAAATGGATGCTTTTAACAACCTTATCTTTCCCAGGAACCCACAGGGATTACAAGATACTGCTAACAAATAAACAAAGAAACCAGTGATGGTTACATGTAACTTGCAAACCTATGTCATATCATACTTGATTGTTTGTGTGTTTTATCTCCATACAGTGTCTTTAGCCTGTGCCTAGTTTGTGAGCCCTCCAGATGTAGGGATTGTCTCATTTATGTTTGTACAGTGCCCAGCATAACAAGGCCCCAAGCTAAAGTGGGACTTCTGGCACTATTATAATACAGAAATGTATTATGATGCCATTATTAATAATAATAGGGCTTAAACCATGGAAGCACCCCATTCTAAATCTGCAGTATATTAACCTTTTCCATTAAAGAGAGGATGGTAATTTGCTGCGCTCGTCTTGTCATACCAAAAATTATCAAAAGTTTCTAGTTATAGAATCACAGCTGAAAACCTTTCTACAGAGTTTATTTCCACAGACAAATTGTTAAGTATATCAGTACAGTTGAAGTGAGCAGTTGACCTGTATCCCTGATGGTTCTATTAGTATAGAGTTGATTATACCAGCTTCACTCCCATATGTGAAAACATACTGCCCCTCTATACCAGTGGGTCTCAAAATTTAGACTCATGGCTCCCCTTGTCAGACTCAAGAAACCCCTTTTCAAAACTAGTATTTATTACAGTGGTTACCTCCTTGCATAAGGACCAGGAAGTGTGGGCATGAGAGCAGCCAGGCAGGGAGAGTCTGAGCTTGCCCTCATCTGCTTATCTCCTTGCACCTCACTTGCCTCCTCACACTTCCGGTGGCACCACGGGGTGCCCTGGCAGCCTGGCTGAGAATCACTGTTATATACAGTACCTTTTATGCCACTGTAGTTGTATCTGTACTAGATGTTGTACAGACCTGACTATTTTGGGAAGACAAAATTGCACCTAGAAGCAAAATGGTTAAAGTAGAAATAAATGTGGAGATAAGAGTGGAAGCACAGATAAAAACTTAAAAGCCTGCAGACACTATATTGGAAAACTGATTGATTTGATGAAGATATTTAAGATAGGTTTGGAAGTAAAGAATGAGAGCGCATGTATTGAAAGGATATGGTGGGCATATTCATTCTGGGTATAATTCCACTGATTTAAGTGATATTATGTTAGAGACAAACCTTTCATAGATTTCATAGACGTCAGGGCTGGAAGGGACCTCGGAAGATCATCGAGTCCAGCCCCCTGCCCAAAGGGCAGGAAGTCAGCTGGGGTCATAGGATCCCAGCAAGATAAGCATCCAGTTTCATCTTGAAGGTGTTCAATGAAGGCGCTTGAACCACCTCCGGTGGCAGGCTGTTCCAGACCTTGGGGGCTCGGACAGTAAAGAAATTCTTCCTTATGTCCCGCCTGAAACGATCTTGAAGTAGTTTGTGACCATTCAACCTCGTCATCCCTTGGGGCGCTCTGGTGAACAAACGTTCCCCCAGATGCTGGTGGTCACCCCTGATAAACTTGTAGGTGGCCATCAGATCACCCCTGAGCCTGCGCTTTTTCAGGCTAAAGAGCCCCAGGGCTCTCAGCCTGTCATCGTAGGGTCTGCTTCCCTGACCTCTCATCATGCGCGTGGCTCTTCTCTGGACTCTCTCAAGCTTCTCCACATCCTTTTTGAATTGTGGAGCCCAAAACTGGACACAGTACTCCAGCTGCGGCCTCACTAAGGCCGAGTACAGGGGGAGAATGACGTCCCGGGATTTGCTTGAGAAGCATCTATGGATGCAAGCCAGCGTTTTGGTTGCTTTATTAGCCGCCGCATCGCATTGCAGGCTCATGTTCATTTGTGGTCAATGATGACCCCCAAGGTCTCTTTCTTCCATAGTGCTAGCCAACATAGCTGGGCTATGATGCTCGCCAGCTCCTTGAGTACCCTGGGGTGAAGATTGTCAGGGCC